AGGTCTGATAAAGTTTTTATTAAATTTGAACAAAATTTTATTGTTTAATAATTTATTTTTATTTAAATTTATATATTATAATATAATAACTTTATTAAATTTTTTTTAAAAAAATACTTATTATAGATAAATCCATTATAATAAATAAGTTTACTTAAGTTATTAATGTCATTTTATATAGTAAAATAAAAACTTTATAAGAAATTATATAAAAAAAGACCTTTTATTTGATATCTTTTTCACTTATATACAGTATATAGATACAAAATTTTTTATCAAAAAATTAAAATCAGGTTATTTCTATCAAATAATTAATATTATTTCTTAATTAATTATATTTTATCAAAATTATATTATTTGATATTATAATAATAACATTAATAATAATAATAATAATAACTTATTATATATTAATACTAAGTAAACAACTTTGAAGAAATCAATAATATGGACTATAAATATAATGAAATTGAATTCAATCATTTTTTAAAAATTGTATTATAATAGAATTATTAAGTAACATATAATAAATAATTAAAATTTATATTTAATTCAAAATCATATTATCAATCAAATTTTTTTTATAGTAATATGTATATATATATAAAATGGAAATTAATATATAATATATCATGACTTTTAAATAGGTTATTGAATATATAAGAATTGTATTTGCTTAACAATTTTGCTCCTAGATTAGACAACCTAAGTTAACTGAATTTTTTGAAGTATTTACTAAAAGATTTTGGAGTTGTATCCTACTTGGCCTTAAAGTCCTTAGATTTGATAGTTTGTATCAATCAAAAATTATAGTTTTGAAGAATTTATTAGGAAATACATATCTATATTAATTTATTTTAAACTTACAACTGTATAAGCCAAAGTTGTAATATAAAAAGTTATTTATTAAGTATTAATATATAGTTTATTTTTCTTGGTTTTTTTTTATACTATAAATAACTGATCTGTCATACTACTTTCTAAATAAATATTGGTTTTAAAATTTCTTTTTTAATATAGTTTAGATAATTATTTTAATAAACTAACATTTAACTCATGTAATTAAGAGATATAGATTCTTGTTCAAATATATAATTATATGTATACAATAATAAAAAAACTAATGTTTATTAAAAAAAAAACTTTACAAGAAATTAGAATTATAAATTAATAGAAAATTTGATTTTTATCAATAACAATTTTATTTATCAAATAATTTTTTGAATATTTAATATAAATTTATAAAATTCAATATATAAATAATATAAAATATAATAAACAAGATTAATTAATTATAGATTGTTTATTAAACACTAGTTTTAAAATTATTAAAATTATTAAAATTAAAATCAAAAAAATTGTCGTACAAAATATAAATCCTAAAATCTGATAATAAAATATTGTTTAAAATTAGCAAAACTTTTACTATATATACAATAGATTTATTTGTTTAGATTTACAGTATATTTACTTAATATACAAAACCATATATGTCAAATAAAATAAAAAGTTTATTATATACACTCTTCTGATAAAAGTCACTGGCCAGCAATCAATTTTAATGTAATCGGCAAACAAAGAAAATTTGTTAAGATTGATTTTCATATAATTATAAACTTTACATTGCATAAAATATATATGATTAGAATTCTGAAGGCTTGAGTTTTTAAAAAAACTGGTTTTTTTATTGTTTGAATTTATATTTGTTTATAATAAAAGAAAAATAAAAAGAACTATCTAAAAGTGAACGAAGTCAGATAATTGATGCCTGAAAATGTAACATTTTAATTTTTACTATTGCAAAAAAGTTTAAATTTCTACTCACAATAGTTAAAGATATAATAACTTATTACAAAAAGTCTAGAAAAATAAAACCCTTATCATGAATTGAAAGACCTTTGCTTTAATCAGATATGCTGTTTGACATTTAATCCAGATTATCAAAAAAAACAAAAAAACTATTTTAAATGTTTTATAAAAAAAATTTATACAATTAACTTCAATTAAAGTTTTTACTCATATTATCCAATGATATTTTTATGAAAAAGGTTTTTTTGTATAAATTGATAAAAGTAAACCATATATTAGTAAAAAAAACCATAAAATTCATATTATATAGGCAAATGAAAAATTATATTGAAATCTTGAATAGAATTTTATAATTTGAAGTAATGAATCCTGATTTAAAGTTTATAAAGGTAATGATTATAATTATGCTTGGCAGTTATCTAAAGAAAAATATAATATAAATTGTGTTATATTAATATTTAAATCTGGTTAAAAGAGTATAATAATTTGAAGATACTTTACTACAAATGGTTTAGGTTCATTAATTAGAATTGATGGATGACAAAATGTAACTAATTATATAAAAGTTCTTCAAAATTTTTTATTATCTTATATAGAGAGTCTTAATCAATGTAATAAGTATATATTTCAAGATGACAATATATCTATTTATCAGGTATACAAGATACAAACATAAATATCTAAAAATAATATTACTAATATTTCATGGCTTACCCAAAGTCCTGATTTTAATCCTATAGAAAATCTCTGGAATGAATTAAAATATAAAATTTGTAAACATACATTATTACCAACTAGTAGATAGTTCTATTAATCAAAATCTTATAATTAATATGCCTAATTATATCAAAGCAATTAAAAAATCTAGAGGAAATCCTATAAATATTAAATAGATAATTAGAAATTTTAAAAGTTATAGCTTAAAAATATATAAAAATTAAATAAAAAAATTTATTTCTTTGTTTGCCAATTTATGCCAAAATTGATCGTCGGCCGGTAACTTTTATCAGGGGAGTGTAGTAACTTTTTATGGTTAAAAAATTTTCAAAAACCCTGTATATCAGATTTTCTTTTACAGAGTAACATTAATGCTTCGATCATCAACATATATAACTATTTGTATTATACATGTGTAAATTATTTTGCTGTTGACTCAATTACTAAAATTCTTAAAAATAATTACTTATTTTATATGTTTTAATAGTGACTCAATTAATTTCATCAATAATTGTGTCAAATTGCGTCAATTTTTACCACATGTACACAGTTTCTTTATCGAGAGTTGACCGTAAAAGGATTGATTTGCTTACAAACATATGGAAATTATGAAGGTAGCAAAAATGCTAGATTTGATTTTTTCGGTCCCTACTTTTTAACAATTATAGTGACTGAAAAATCCCTGTCCGCCTTCGAAAAGAATTACTCATCAAATGAATTAATGAATGCGCGGAACCACGTACTACGTATGAAAACTTGAACAATATCTTAAACATTCATGCAGTAATGGGTTATTTATATTAATGGATAATGTTTCATTTTAATTTGATAACAGATATAAACATTACTTTTTCAACCAATACAGGCGCATTAGAACACTATTTATTCCCCAAAAAATTATTAGATGGAGAGGCGAAATCAAATAATATTGTCATCTATCATACTCATAATTATATTAGGGTTTTCGATAAATCATACGACAAGATGGACGACGCCATCATTAGAGTCTACGGATGAAGTATTGAACTTAAATTTGACAAACTTTGTGGATCTTAGAATCGGGACTGAAAACGGCACGTAAATAATTAGGGTGTTAGAGAAAAGGCGTTTTTTGCATTATGTAACATGCAGTATATCTTCTCCTCAGAGGGCCATGTATTTCCAGGAGCATGTTTGCCATTTGGAATGGTGAAAGTTGGACTTGACACTGACTTTAGTGGAGAGTTTCAAGCTGGGTATATATCTACATTTTCTTTATGATCAATGATTGTAAATATTCTGATCTTTTTTCAAAACAGGTACACGGTTACGGGAGTCATCACGGGGATTTCACGCACGTATTTGACCAATCATTAAAGTGATTTGGAGTTAAGCATGTATATAAATTAAATTTAACATCATTCGATCATTTAGATTTACATGTGAGTGGTACTGGGGGTACGTATGCTCATGAACGTATCAAAAACAAAATTACGAACGTTGCCAAGATTCATCGTATTTTCTTTTTGAAGGGGAAGCAAAATATGGTGTAATCAGTCAACTTCCAATTGTCGTATCACTCTCTGAGATTGATCTTTCCGACATAAAATCGCCAAGGTCGTTTGAACGCTTTACACCTGGTTATTCCATATTTGGTCTCAAGCGATATAACATTACCGTAGAGTTGACAGCCACCCGACGAGCCGCATTACATCGATACACTTATCCCGAAAACGCTAATAATAATTCTCATGTGATAATTGACATATCTCACTTTTTGCACCAAGTTTGTCCGTGGTGCATGTAAGTTTTGTACAATCGCATCTTACGACAAAAAGCTTCATAAAAAAAAAACAAGATGAATTTCAAATCTTTTTACTTTGATGTTTCATAGAGGAAAATTCCATGATGGTACTATCTATTCTGTGAACAATACTCAGGTAAAAGGCATGGGTCGATATTCAGGCGGATGGAACCAAGGTGGTCCTTACAAGGTCTATTTCTGCTCTCAATTTGATACTCCGGCTATATTTTATTCCACTTGGTGGAACTTTATCATCACGAACACAAGTTTTGATGTTGGAGCAGATGGGCATCCTTTCGGTGCGATTCTAACTTTTGATACGAACAGGTCTGATAGCATGTTTGATAATACTGTTGGATCGCATAACATTCAATTGATATACTCTCGCTCCCTTGTTTACCAATCAAAGTACACGTGTAATAAGATCCAGAGTTGGGATCTCCTTCATCTCGGCCACGCAGGCTTGCCAAAATGCAGAATCAGAGATTCCGTATTTTGATTTTATGCAAATAAAGAGTGAGGCAATTAAAGCTTGGGAAAGAGAGTTGGAGAAGATAGTGGTCGAGGGTGGTGACAATGAAACAAAGACAATATTTTACAGCAGTTTATATCGTACTATGCTTATGCCGAGTGACAGGTAACTTTCTGAAAATTAGAAAGATAGCGTGAATGGGGTTTTATGTGAGACAACGGTCTTAAGATATGATGATGAGGGTTTTGATATTGCATTTACCGCAATTACACGCTTTTCCATCTATTCATATTTGGCGTGAGATTAACAAATTTTAACACGTTCATATAATTTCTGCATTTAGAACGGGGGAAAACCCAAAATGGGAATCATTTGACAAGAATGGAAAGATTATTCCACACTATGATGATTTTTATACTTTGGTAAAAAGAATTACTCTTTATCAACAATTCCAACGAAAGATTTAATTAAACTTTTATTTGTTATTTTTTCCTTTTTATATAGTGGGACACGTTTAGGTAGGTCACTAGTAATTTGAATCGAACCTTGAATTCATTCTCATCCTTTATAAACCTAGAGTCACAAACCCGCTATATACTTTATTCCAACCTAAGCGACAAGTTGACATTGTTCGTTCGCTAATTGATATTTACAAAAATGAGGGATATATGCCAGATGGACGGAGTGGTATGGAGAATGGAATAACCCAGGGTGGATCAAATGCTGATATGGTTTTGGTAAGATGTTAATTTATGAATTATTTTTCCTTTCTACTGCATTCTTTTTCTTATTCTGTTAATGCTTGTTTGTTTGCATAATTAAGGCGGAAACATTTATTAAAAATATCGATCGCAATTCAGAAATAGACTGGTCACTTGCCTACCAAGCTTTACTTGAAGATGCTGAGGTTGATCCTTGGAGTCGAGGTTTATACGAAGGAAGGCTGTATTTAAATTGGTACAAAAAATTAGGATACATTCCGATACAAGTCCTTACCAGGATGGGATATTTTTTAAGTCAGTGCAGCCGAACGCTAGAGTATGCAGCGAACGACTATACCATCAGTTTGGTAGCAAAGGGTATGGAATTTATTCTTCACTAAATTTTGTACTCAGTAAAATTACGACAAACCAACATTACCTTTAACTTGATTTTTATAACCCAGGCATGAACAAAGAAATGGACTACGTGAAGTACCGAAATCGTTCCAGAAATTGGGAAAATCTGTGGTACCCTAAAGAATTTCAGGGTATGAATTTTAGCCTCTTTTCGTAAATTATTGACACTTCGTTAACTTTTGATTTGAAAAAATCAAGGTTTTACTGGATTCATCCTACCCAGATATAGCGATGGTAAATTTTACACAGAATGGAATGTTATGGACACATACGGAGGACAAAATCCGTTTTATGAAGGCACCTCTTGGGAATATAGCTTTTATGTTCCTCACGGTAAGTCATTTGCATCGCGATATTCGACCTAACGCTGATCATAAATTTACCCAATCGAATACCTACAACTTACGCAATGCAGATATCAAAAAACTAATTGAGCTCTCGGGTGGCCCTATAAAATTTGAGGAGCGTCTTGACAAAACATTTAATAACGATGATCCTTACAGATTGTATCTTAACGAATATTTTAACATTGGAAACGAACCAAGTTTCTTGACCCCATGTCTGTATCATTATATTGGGAAACAGTGGAAAAGCGTCAAACTAATCAGAGATATCATGAAAACCATGTTCGGAAGTAACAGATTTGGAATCCCTGGTGAGTCTTATTTCCACAATATTATATTGACACTGAAAGCACGAATATAATTCTACCAAATATTACACATATGCAGGAAATGACGACTCAGGGGCGATGGGGGCTTGGTACGTCTTTCATGCGATAGGAATCTTTCCAAAGTAGGTTATTATTTAAACCATTTAATAATACGTCAACCATGTTCGTATAATTTATATTCTCTTTCGTCATACATTAGTGCCGGCCAAGATGTCTACTTTATAAACTCCCCTCATTTCAAAAACGTTACAATTAAACTCTCCGATTCGTCTGACTCAATTTTAACAATACTTGCATATAATCTTTCCCCTACGAACATTTATGTTCAGTTAGCAAGGCTCAACGGAAAATTTTGGGAAAAAACATGGTTTAGACATTCTGATATTGGTAACGGTGGAAAATTAGAATTGTGGATGGGTGAAAATGTGAGCGAAACTTGGGGAGTTGGCAAATACTTAATATATCCGCCAAGCCTGAGTGATGAGGTTGTTGAAACCGGGCTTCCCTTTGTTTCTAGTATCGAGCCCGACCTCGTGGTTGATGAGGTTTTAGGGAAAAAGTAGATTGTAGATTTAATATTTTAATAAATTAAAAGTTTCTGTTTTCGTTACATTAGATCCGAGCCACGCAGCATCAGTCCATTAGTTTTATTTTATAAGACACGTTAACAACTAGTATACAGTTTCCGATAGAAATTCGTGATGGGTATTACATTGTAAAAGCACTTGTGTATAACTTACTATATTTTTTTTATAAATACACTAATATACAGGACTTCCGGAAACATCTATATATAAAATTTTTAATTATATATATTGCAAGGAAATTTAGAAGCGCAGCATAAAATGTGTACTAGAGAAGATCAAGACTTTTTGCACAACAAAAATTATTTTTAAACTGGTATCCTGTTATTTGCTATAAAACAACATACATTTTCTAACATTGACACTTATCTTATGTTAGATCAAATCAACTCTTTTAACATCACATAGTGATTATTTGTCATTAGCAGCTGACTCCTATTGTATCCTATTTATTTTCTATTTATTTTATTTTTTGAATATACAGTATATATTTTATTTTTTTATGATCCTTCATTGCTTCATATTGTAAATGCTTTTTATATATTGTGGTATGTCTTTAATAAATGTATCAATTTAGTTGATATTTATTTTGATTTAAATCTTTTAAATTATTTTAGACGATTTATCCGAATTAGCTATTTTATGTATAAATATAGATAATATATTCTATATAAGAAATTATTTTGAAGGTGAATCAAAAATTTTAGATCACAAATTTATTATCCCACAATTTAAAATCTACCTATCATGTAACTTATAACTTATAAAATCCAAAAATATAATAATTATTTTTTATTTTTATTTTTAAAAGTAAGAAAGCATTATTTTTTTATTAATTTTGTATAAAATAAGTTATGTATTTAAGAAACAAGCAATATTCTTAGATGCAAAGTATATAATAAGTTAAATGCTAATCTATTTACTACAAATATTTAATCAATATATCAAAAAGATTTTAAACAATATACTATAATTAAATAATATAAAAATGCATACAGTTTACTTATAATTTTTTAAAAAAATTATAACTATATTAAAGATTTGATAAAAATAAAAATAACAATAAGAAGAAATCTTATATCTAATATAAGTATTGAAAAAACAATTCTTCTAATTCTTTATAATTTGTTATCAAAATTTTTATTGGTATAAATGCTTGAATATTAATTATATAATTGGTAATTAATGTGATAGTTAATTGTTTTGTTAATATTTTTGTTATTGTTTTTGTTATTGTTATTAATATACTAACTTTATTAAAAATTTATAAAAATAAAAATAGTAGTAATAAAGAAATTATTGATCTGATATACTGTAGATATTAAAAAACTATTTTTTTCAATTTCTTAAGAGTTATTGTTAAAATTTTGTTGATTTAATCATCTGAATAAAAAATATCTAAGTAATAATTATTATAATAATTAATTTAATTATTGTTATTAATATTAATATTAATATATTAATAAATAGAACTGACCAAGACGAAGTCACGAGAGGGTTATTATCGCGAGAATCAGGACCTGTTTACATTTTTTTGTGTGCAAGTGATAAAGTAAAAATGATGTAATGATGATTTAAGACTAGTGATTATATAAGAAATCAAAATAAAGCTATGGATATTCGAATAGGTGATGTTTTTATATTTTCTTCTGCTGCTACGTTTGCCTGAAACTTTGATTTTCCAGCTTATCAAAAATATCCAAAGAACATGTCTTTTGCTAAAACATGCCTGCAAAATATTAAGAATAAAGGTATCACTGATGAAATAACCGTACAGAACGATATAAGAAAATCAAACATGTCATTAGAAGAACTTCGAAACCTTTGCCAACTTTTAAACCTTGATTCTGGAGGAAGTAAACCTGATCTTATTGACCGTTTGAGAAAAATCAGTAACAACTCAGACTTACCACTATGTGAATCTTGTGAATGAATGGAAATGGGAAATTCTGATGACCTGCAAACTATGCTTCAAGAATGTGAAAATTCGGCTTCAGAACCTTCATGTGAAAGTGACA